CTTGTTAACGATTGATTCAACTCCTTCTCCTCTGTGTCATATGTTATGATTATATTTTCTTTAGAATCATATGAGAGTGGTAGGGCGACATTACAAAAATCTGGCATTTGAACGGGTAGATAATGAGATGATATCTGTATAGCAGAAAAGAAACTCATGTTAGATCTTCTATTGAGTTACTCTATAAAGCTCTTTAATGAATTCTTCTTTTTCTTCCACGCTAGCAGCAACCAAAGAGAAGGTACGTTCGTTAAATGTTATTACAAAATCTGGTAACGCCTAAATGATTCATATCAAAACATTATTCAACCATATAAGGTACACACCTTTTTGGGGTTCACACCATCGATTGCTCGCAACTCTCGCAAGTTATAGCGATCTTTTTTTTTGAAACTGTCATCTTTTTCTGCTCTAACAAAGTATAATCGTACAGATATTGGATGTTCTATTGTAACTATAACAGTGGGTGTTCATTGAAAATCCAATAAGCTTACTTACCAGCAATACATAAAAATGTTGGTCGTTTTTTCTTTTTTCCATCAGTTTTAAGAATTTGAACCATTGTATGTAGCCTTTCATCTTCGCCTTGAAACACTTGACGTTGTAACTCTTTTCGTATCGCCGACATTATAAATAGGCTAACTATTCAAAGTATACCAGTTAATATATATTTTCTAAACAATGGTATAACTGAAACGCTAAGTAAAGTTCGGAAAGAATATGAGATTGGTGTTCAACCAAATATATTTAAATTTGACTCTATGAGAACATTTATTCAAAAATCTATCATTCACAAGAGCTTTGTTCAAAGCATTAAAGAAGATAAGCTAAGCAAGATACATTACGCAATAACATTATAGTATATAACTTGTTTAATTCAAAAATAAAGGGTAATGACTAAGTGTGTATGAGAGCGCATATTGTATATATAAGGGAAGGCAGATTGGTGTATCCATTAATCCTCACACCAGGCATTTTCTTTGCGGATTTGCTCTTCTTCTTCTTGTGAGAAATCATTGAGAATGTTGAAGGTGCGTCTGATCTCCTCTGGTCCTTTTCCCTTAATGAGATTTGCTACTGATTTGCAAGTCACATCAAGAAGTCCAGGAATGTCAAGGTAGTTGGCTGCCAAAATAATTTCGAACAATGTCGCTTGATCAACTTTAAGAAACTCGACGTCCCAGGACGGAATGTCATCTAGTCGTTTTTCTCGAGAGTCCTTATCATCTTCTGGTTCATCATCTTTGTGGTATGAGCACCATTGAATAACTTTTTTCAATACAGCACCGTTGACGCATTGGACTGGTACGGGCTCCATCTCAACTAGATCGCTGGAATCCAATCCTAGATCGATGATCATGGTGTTCAATGTATTGGATAGACGAATAACATCACGATCAACTTCAAAGACTTCTTGATCAGAAGAAAGCAGTTTAACACGAGGTGTAGAAGCTACAGCCATTGTTTCTGAAATCTATATTTTCAATAGTACACGTCAACTATGAAATGAAGAAATATATATGATTCACTATACGATAACAACGAGTAATATAATCAAGAATGGTACTGTAGAGGTGATTAGAGATTAGCACGTGAGAAAGAACTGAAAGGAATACTACAGAAAATGATGAAATATTGAAATATAAATCAACCTAATAATGACATGGAGCTGCTCAGTAATTAATAACAACAATAATATGAATAAACAACCAAGGAAATTGCGGGAAAAGGCGATATGTCAGAGAGTATAACCTCTTAAGCCACGCCTACAACAAAGACTGCGGTCAATAATCGTGTCGAGACCTTATCGATTGAGACCTTGAAAAACGTGACATGACGCGCAACCTCTCAACAAGATATTTATTTGTGCAGGTCGGATTGAAGATTGATATCATGAATGAGTCACATGAGTATAGTTTCATAATTTCAAAGTGATTGATTCTGCTGAGGTTGTACTGTTTTAGGTGTATTGAAATAGGGTTTTTGAAATGTATACTATTGTATGGTTCTTATGTTCTGGTTTCACAGCTAATTTTCGTAATGGGGAGATATAGAGATTTATATGAGATTTCTGAATGAATCGATAATCTTCTATATTCGGCAATGAGAAGATACAATGTAAAATGGGAGAATGAGCTCAACTAACTAATTCAATTGTCGAAGATACAATGAAACTTGAATGGCGTGATGAAATTGAATAGGAAATGTAGAGGGGAAAAAAATGTCCGTCTAATGGAAATCAATTGTGAAACTGCATTGAGAAATCCGGAAAAATGAGATAGCGATTTAGGATTTTTCAGGATTTTTTTCATCTTATTTTGAAAATGCGTAAGATATTTTGGGCGAGTTCATTTGCGAACAGTGTCTGTGCTTCATTTCAATCTTTCTATTAATCAGGTTTCTCTTGCATCAACAGCTGTTATCGTCTATTGTTTGAAATAATCGGCTCTGCTAAGCTGCTTGTGAGATATGTGAGGATGAAATGATGAACCTCGTCTCTACATTGTAATTCTCTTTAACATAAAGGAATGAATTGAATAGAGAAAAGATGAGATAGTGTAGTGATATTGCTGTAAGAGAGTGCCAGATGTCAAAACTGAAGTACTACTAGTTTGAAATGATATATGAGAGAGTGAAGGAAAATTGCGAAGTTTAAAGACACCAAGTGATATGAGAGATACATGTGAAAGTAAGAGATATTATAGATTACGAGAACAGAGCAAGGGATGCGCTTTTAGTGTAGTTTTGACAGCTTGCAGCTAGTTATACTATAAAAAAATATTTATATTCTGGGCGGAAAATCGGAGAACAGGGATTGTTCAAATAAAATTCAAGTAGTGTTTGAGTTATGAAGAATCTTTGTAGAAATAATTGAGTTTGGAAGAATATCGCTGACATTAAGAATTTTATTTGAACATTTCATGTAAGAGAGAGACTAGCAGTCCAACGAAAAAAAAAAGATATGAGAGAGTAATCTAGAAAATTACTATCCTCATCTAACAAAGGAGTGCAGTCTACTACTTTTATGAATGTCTGTCGTCTGTTTTGTGTAAGATTTTTACTCTCTCATCTTTCGCTCATCTCTGACTTCTCCATACTTGTTATACTATTTCTATTCGTTTGCTGACAAGAGGGTCGTTTTCTGTTCCGTTCGGCCCTTGGGTACACATGGCGTGGCTTGCCCTCTTCTTAATGTATACTATTTCACATCTCGTTTTGCCTGCTTTCTATCTTTATGCCATGTATTGGTGCTGTAAAGAAAATCGATAAACTCTCTCTCTGTTGTTGCAGCCTTTTCGTTTGTCTCTATTTTCTGAATTTTCCGCTGTTCCACTTCTATCTATTCTCCCGATACACTGCGGTTTTAGGAATGGGTTAGTTTAATCTTTCTGATTGCTTATTTGGTAATGAAATGTTACAAACATATTATTAATAATAGAGTTTTCATTAGTTAAATAGTAACTTATTTAATACAAATGATTGTATGACTATTGATTTCATACATAACATCTCTGTATGAGGTCAACACGAAATGTCATGTAAACTATGAAACATCATTATGAGCTGTATGAATCATAATAATGTTTTTTACAGGGAAAAAATGCGACGTATGTAGGAAAAAGTGTTCGGGAGATGTGTTAAAAGCTAATGACAAGCTTTTCCACGTTTCTTGTTTTCAATGCAAAAGTGAGTCATTGTTCTTCCTTCTACTACAATATTATGAATTTTGGCTTCCTCGCGGAAGTCATTTTCATTATATAATCACATATTTTTACATCTCTTATGTTGTTTACATTTTCAGAGTGTCAGCGATTATTAGGGGAATCCGGATATTACCAAACTTCCGAGGGCTACTATTTATGTCCTGATGACTATAGGGGGCTTAATAAAGAGCGGAAACAATCGAATCCCGCAACGCCGGCTAAAACAGCAGAAAAGATAGTACATGGAAAAAGCAGAGAAGGCTCGCCATCAAAATCACCACAACATGCACATTCGCCAACGCCGATGGAGAATATTTCAACAAGTAAAAATCAATACTTTTTATGAATGTATTAATGGAATTGGTATTCTAGCTTGTGCGGCCTGCGTACAACCATTAGCTCAAGGCCAAGCTTTACTAGCTTTAAATCAATCATGGCATGTATTTTGCTTCAAATGCAGGTTTGAGGGAGTATAGTTATTGCATAGTGAATGAATGGTTTAAGCGAGTGTGGCGCTATCTTACATGGAGAGTATATGAGTCATAATGGACAACCGCTGTGCCTGCGTGACTATAATGATAAACATGGCGTGAAATGTTATGAATGTCACAAGTTTATTGCTGGAAAAGTTCTGCAGGTTAAAATATCATGAGTTTTCCCAAAAAACTGTCATTTTCTCTTAGGCCGGAAACTACCGCTTCCATCCTACTTGTGCAAGATGTACTCGATGTGGTCTTCATTTTGGCGGTGGAGAAGAAATGTATATGCAAGGAGATGAGATCTGGCATCCATCATGCGAACATTCTCGTACCACAGAGAATATTGCGGTTGGAAATCACTTTTTTGTGTTTTTCTTCATTCAAACTGTTTCAGCCCACAGCCAAGGGATCAACTTCATTCAATATGAAAGAAGTCAAATATCCTTCTTCATTTGGTCAACATACTATCTATATGTACTTAATGCCTGAACCAGAGCTTACGTATATGCGTCATCCAGCCACAAACCAAAAAGAGCCTAATGCTCCTCAGTACCACGTTCCACAAGGTTCGCCTGTTTTTACAGAGCAACGAGTAATTGGAAAACATCTTTTTAGGCCCCATTAAGATCAGAAAATCACGCCTTGCTGTTCTTAAGACTGGAATGCAGCGATTGGGTTTGTTTATTAGTTCAATTGAGCTATAACAATGCTTAATAATTGCAGCCGAAGATTTGGAGAAAGATATGCCTAGACCGAAATCTCCCCATATGTGCAACGAGGAACCAATTGAATTAGCACATTACCCAGCTGGTCACGCTCCCGATCCAAATCAAGTTAGATTAAATTTATTCATTGTTCTAGGAAAGAAGAAACATATTCTTTTAGCCTGTTGCGATTGAAAGAGATGATTTCCCAGCTCCACCATACCCATATGCAGTAGAAGAGTTGAAGAGAAGGCTTTCTACTTCCTCAATCGAGAATGAGATATCAGATGATGAGTCTGATCTAGAAAACGTTGACGAGGATAAGCTGAAGAAGACTGTTAAAGAGCTGGAAAAGTATGAAGATTCTTCAATAGCTCATGTTATCAAGCAGAACATCGAAGAGGCCACCAAACGGCAAAGGTGACTTCAACAAGAACCCTAATGAAAGTATGAACTTCTGTTATACTTTTTTTTCAGACTCCCTCTTCATTGGGATCCTCGTAATGCGAGTCGTACTCCATCCGCCAAGAAAATGCCCCACCTGAGATTCCGTTATGAGGTTCCCATCAATGCCTGTGAGAATTGAAAGATGAGAAAGCAGTGAAATTCTATTTTATAGCCCCATCAAGACATATGAGTAGACCGAGACCTTGGGTTGCCTGGCAAGGAGGAGAGAGAAATTTAGGGAACACATTACCTTGCTTCCATATACCTGAGAGTCAAGGTCGGTCAGAAAAAAATCTGCATAATAACAAGGTCATTTCCAGCGAATACCCTTCGAGCATCAACACTGCCGGGACGTTGTATATACGGACATCAGTCAATGGAAAACTTAGAAGCTGCTACTACTGAGAATATTTATAACAGTGAGTTGCTCATTGTAATTCGCAAGGTACCGTTTCGTGTTTTAGCATCGGGTTCAAACACATTCAATGATGAGCAAACAAGAATCGGAGGAGACATGAGGACACCTCTCCGCTCATCTTTGCCTGACATGAGCAAACCCGTGAAAACCTACTCATTGACTGAATTACAGACAACTAATAAGGCAATACCTAACGAAGTAGACAGGTAAAACATTGCATGACTCAACTAGAAACCGAAAACATTCGATTCCAATATTTTCTATTTAGACAACATCTGGAGAGACATTTGACGCGAGATGAATTCGAGGCAGTGTTTAATATGAGTCCCATCGAATTTTATAAACTGCCAGAATGGAAGAGGATAAACTTAAAACGAAAAGCTCGGTTGTTCTAATTCATCGTGATCCCTGGGTTTGAAGCATTAGTACCCTATTTAGCTTAGCATATGTTTCTAAAACAATCTCTCCTTCCCTTTTAATATTCATATTTTGCATAAATAAGAAAGCCTCTATTAATAACGCAACTATCAATAATTAGCTCTAATTACTGCCTGAATTGCATTATAGTTTTAATTTATTCTATTTTTTATTATAATTCCTTTGAATAGTCTACTTCTAGTCATTTCATTTTAATCTGCGATTTTTCTTCTTCCTCCTTTTCTTAGCTTCAATAATGCATAGCTAGCTGGTCATTAAAACGCCTTATTTTTCTCAACCTCTAAGTATAAACAGCCTTAATCTGTATGAGAACTAAATTGTGCTACAAATAGCTTTTAATTCAGTGATAAAAATAAAAATTGCATTGCAAAACAATTTATAAGAACACTAGATGTAATTTAGATGGCATTCCCTCTGCCAATGAACGGATACTACATTTTCTAGACGTTAGCAGTAGATTAGAGCTTTCTTTGAAATTTTGTAAGATTGATACTTTGTTAGAGAATTGAAGAACATTGAATTTTCAACGTTCTAAAAGTCCATATCCTTTCTGATAATTGAATCGCATACACTTTGAAGTTGCTGAACAAAAAAAACCACAAACCTCAAACTTTTGGGGTACCATTGGAGGAGATAAGTCGATGAGTTGAAGCTGAGTGTCTATAACCACTTTAAGTGGAAATAGACAAAGATAAAGCTACAACGTGTATGCTGGAATAGAGTGACTTTGTTGCGAATACGAAATACAATTAAAGACTCGAGTATTCTAACAATAAAACCCATCTTTTCCATTAAGCAATAAGAGCTATGATTAATGGATTGAATTGATGGAATGTTTAGTTTTAATTGAATCTTCAACGACTAACTTGAATCAGCGTCAGTAGAACTTCAGCAACAAATGGAACTCCCTTTCTTCTGTGCGAGATAAAGCTTTTGTTGTTTTGTCTGTGACATACGTGAAAGTGGAAATCATTCGTGTCTGCAAGACCATCCAACGCTCCAATCCAACTTGGGAATGCGACCGTCAACAAGCTTCTTTGAGGATATGCTGAAAGCACACAATGACAAACGAAAATTGGTATGATTTTTAAACTGATTAGCTTCTTGTTGTTCTAGTCTAATTTTGTACGTATCTGTTGTTTCCTAGCATGGGTCGCCCGATCTGAAGCTTAGTGGAGAACTCTCAGAAAAAGCTCAAGCCTGGGCAGATAGAGTGGCTGAGAAAGGATACGTATCATTCTGTGAGACAATTGGTATTGGAGAAAACATAACCATCTTTCCTCCAAACACAAAACCAGATAGAAGTGAGAATCTGAAATTCGATATTTTTTCTTATCTTTGAGATTGAAAGTTGTGGAACACTGGTATTCTGAACACGAACGTTATGAATACGAAACTCCAGGTTGGCAAGAAGGAACAAGCTATTTCACTCAAACCGTTTGGAAATCTACAACAGAAGTAATTTTAAAAACTTCCCTGTTGTTATGTCTGACAATGTTGTTTCCAGCTAGGTATTGGTTTGACGAATATTGAGACTAGCAAATTCAATCTTCCATCAAATTACCAGAGGTTAAATTTCTTAATTATCGTATTACTAATTGTAATCGCATAACAGGCATAGCATGCAAGACAAAATGGAAATTATTGTTGCTTTCTACAAACCGGGTGGTAATAACAACCGAGATGGGCTGTTTGCTGTAAATGTTTGCAAACCTAAATATAACTGATATAAATAACACTTACTGTTTTATTTTTTTATTATTGTTTGTTTCTATCGTCTGTCAGAAGATCTCTTTTTGCATTCATATTGATAACAAACACTCAACAATTCCATTTGACCAGTCAGGAAAAAAAGGCTTTCATGTTTATATTCTCGTTGTTGGATTAGTTGCAAGCTGTTCTTCAATTATTTTCGCGGCAAACTTTCTAAATAAAGTGGAATTATTTACGTGCGCTGTATAAGAAACCTGATTGACAAGAAGACGGATGTTCCTGGTCTCTTCTATCCAGAGAACCCATAATTCTTGCTTCAAATTGTTCTCTTTAGCAAATGAAGATATTACAGATAGGGCTTTAGAGTTGCGATATATGAGAACTCTCGCACCTGGAAACAAGAATTCTCTCTTGTGTTCCGCTTCAAAGTTTTAATATACTTGGATAACATTGACCACGTTGATATGCCCATATCAGATTTATATTTTATTTCGGTACGCGGTGTTTGCCTTTTGTTGTTGCGCACTTACGATGGCTGAAAAAACGTTTTTACTACTATTCCGGAATTGCAATCCGTAAATGCAATACAAGATTTCGAATGCTTTCTAATCCTTTTAATCTGTTGGAAAAAAAATTTTTTTCTCGGTTTCCGTACTTGACTTCAGTCTGGAAATCAAGTTTTTTCATTCGAATCGTTCTAGATCAGGTGATGAGAGATTTCTCTGCTTGAAAGATGGGAGGGGTAACTGAAACAGATTTTTAATCGTTTGGCTTAAAAATCATTGGTTCTAGCTTCTCCTTTCGTGCTGGATTTGTTCCAGCAAACTGCTATTCGGTGTTTAAGAAAGGGGAGACAAGCCGGTTTCTCTAATAATTTCGCCTCTCACAGTATTTGTCACACATAATGCATGCGCTTTTACTACGTGTTCTACTTGCTTTATGCGTTTTTACAATAGGTATGTCCATACTACTATCCTAATTCTCAAGAGGTCATATTGACTGTACCCTCATCATCACCATGACCGTTGGTTAATTATTGGATTCAATATTCAAAAATGACACTGGCATGAGAAAAGAGGCATTTTTTGAATTTCGCCACTCATCACTCTCTTTCAGCTTCACCTAAAACTGCACAAATCATTTATCGAAGATTCACGCACGATACTTGCAAAAACAATCCATGTTTAAACGGGGGAACATGTCAGCCAGGAAAACTCGCTTGCGATTGCGCGGTTGGTTGGATGGGACGTTACTGTCATAGTCAGTTCATATTATTGTTTTCTTTTCTGTTTCACAGTATACTGTTGAATCCGTTTTGATCTGCTTTGACTAATCAGATATTACAAAACACAATTTGTCCAATATCAACCATATCTTATAGGAAGATGTAGAAACATTTACAAAGGGTGCGACAGATGGGCAATGGAGGACAAATGTCACACCATATTGACCCAAACAAACTTCTTTGATATGAATTGTGCTTTATCATGCAAGCTATGCACACCTGACCCAACTTATGGTTAATAACATATCAACTCCTCTCAATTTACAAAAACCAATTCCTTTGAAGATTTACCTGCGATTCCGCTACCACCAGCATTAGAGCCTTTACAGTTTTTCTTAGGACAATGGCATTCACAAGTATCCAGCAGCTTAAATGTTTTCGAATAATCCTATTATAGGCATCTAAAGGATTACGTTTTCCTATCGATATGTATGATGATGAGTATGAAGAAGTGCTGGACATTTCTCCCGCCGAAGTACCCATGTTCGGACCACCATCCCTGAATATGACGTAACTCACATTGAAATTTCAATGAAGTTGTTCCGTTGCCTTTTCAGGAGTAGGTCGTGGCATAAAGATGATGTGAGATTGATGCATGGGTTCGTAACCTTACGACCAAACACTTTCCCAGTTGAAGTTGCTATACTAAGTACATATAATGAAGGTTTGACATTCTTTTCATAAAACCTCGTTGTAATCATACTTTCACAGGCGTTAATATGATTGAGCTTGGTGCTCTTAAAAATCATGTCTTAACACTGAACGTCACTTACATGCAAGTTCACCCAACACTTGATGGAGCCATTCTGCCGTTAGGGGTTCTCTTGTTTCCTCAATCAATATCCTTTTTTATCTTATTTTTTCAGATCACCCGTCGGTTTAGAAGAATCGGATCAATGCTTGAAATGACAGTCGCTAAATTATACACTGCTAATAAGGTGAATGTTTACAAAACATTTCTCAAACTGACCTCTCTATCATTCTTCCAGGTGTCGCAGTTCAAGAAGATGTTCAAGAAGATGAAAGATTATCGAATATAATTATTTCGTCCTTGTATTTAAGATTTTTAAATATGTATATTGAAATTCGTCATTATTAAAACTTGTTCTTCTTTCGGCAATTCGAATGACTCAGTAGTACTCGATCTTTACCATCTCAAAATTTCAGACTCATTTGGATACATCTAATCCAATCCTATTAGGACAGATTCCAAAAGTCATTTGTTGTTTTAATGATGAAACTGAAAAGTTTTTCATAAAACCTCGTTGTAATCATACTTTCACAGGCGTTAATATGATTGAGCTTGGTGCTCTTAAAAATCATGTCTTAACCCTGAACGTCACGTACATGCAAGTTCACCCAACACTAGATGAAGCCATTCTACCCTTAGGGGAATGAACGGAAATGGCAAGTAGCTTAGAAGAGGAGCGAAGCTATGACGACTTTATGCAGAAAAAAAAGTAAACAAGGAATACAATGCGCCACAACTGCTCGAAGAGCATCAATCAGATCTCTATGATAATTCATACGAAATATTAAGATATAAGCACTACGCTCAATGATACAACTCATGATCACATTAGTATATCCTTGCTCATATTCTGTAGATTTAAGATAATAGATGGAAAAAACGAGAAGAGAGAGCAGAACTACGAATTATCTCCAGCCGCGTTATCTCTCTTTATTACTTCGCCAACAGATGAATCTAAAAGTACGCTGATTAGGTAAGAAATCAGTATCTGTAAGTTGTTTGATAGTTGAAGCAGACTAAACAACTTGAAGATGTTGACAAGGATACATAGGAACAAACGACATCGGACTAACAATATGCATTGTTTTGCGCGCGAGACGAACAGCTTAATCTAGGAGCTGATTGCAATAAACGCAAGTGTACTCGGTTCCATTAGGATTGAGACGGACAACTAGAGGATTAGCTAAATGAGACAGAATACAGCGCGATATTTCCATCATTCCTTAAAGGGTATACCGATATCCGACATGATGCGTTGGTGTCTGTCAGATTTGATCAAGCCATTCTTGAGCAGAAACTCATTTCGCTCCGGTTGTTTGTCACCATCATCATCGCGAAGATATGCTGTCCAGCGTGGACTGCATTGGAAGAAGCGAATAGCTTCTACCATATCCTTAAATAAAGGTTTCAAGAAAAGTGCTCGCAGAACCCCTTTACGTTGTGGTCAGTAGTAAAGCGGTGGTAAATTCCAGGAGGCAGGAAGAGGAAATCTCCAGCGCAAACAGGAATGCGGATCCATTCATCCTAAAATGAGAGAAGGAAATCTTGTGATTTTTGTTTTTAGTCAAGAAGTCACTGAACGACCACCCACGTCAGCACTTCGCACGTCGAAGTATCCACTGCCACTCTTGATGAAACGGAGTTCTGCGTCTTTATGGAGATGTTCCTTGAAAAATCCTTTGATCTGAACAAAGATAATATTTTATCGCTGTCTATGATATATTACCAGCTCATTATATCCAGGTGTGGCCTTGGAAATAGAGATGGCATCCCGATTCTTCATGCTGTAAACAGCGGCAAGGTTTGGTAATTCCATCTACAAAATTAGATCATCAAGCAATAAATATTTCTCGAAGATAACCTGGTCTCTCTCAAGGAATTCGACACCAACTTTGGCTAACTCATGCAGATTAATAAGACGATGGGGGGTCTGTCTGTTGGGATCACGTTGGTCAACAATGTCTTTCGACATAAAGTAAGGCATGTCCTCCTTGTCTACAGCCATCGCAAGCAAACGTAAAGAAACTGTTCCTGCAAAGGATTGGAAATGATTAAAGATTTGAGAACCAAGAAAACAATTCACGACAATATCAAATGAATGAGGAGAGGAAGTAGTCTAAGTAGGTGGAGAAATGATGTGCTTGATAGGACCACACCCTCTATACTGTGGATATCATCAGCTCCGCCTATCTCTCTACGTCTGTATCATTTCTGAAAAGAAGTATTGAGGATATAATAAGCAATGCTCGGAGACGGATTATAATAGAAAGATCAGGATTCATGAAACAATAGATGTGCACGTAAAATAAGAGATTACTATATCTCATTCATTCTATGAATGAATTGATAAACCAAAAAATCCAAAAAAAAGCATTTGAACAATTTGAGAGAATTGGTTAAAACCCTTTCAGATTAGTTATAAACATGGATATTGACAGATGCTGTACAAAGGCATTACTGGTCAAGAGATGTAGAGGATACAACTAGAGAATCTACCCAACTAGGAGGATAAGCGTTTCAAATTGCGCACAAAACACAACAAATCATTCCATACTTAACAAACAATTTGGGCTAGAAAAAAGAAAGATACTTTCCCGAAACAGGATGAAAAGTACAGGGTTACTTAGACGATTAGCCTATTTATCATAAAATGAAAAAAAAAAGAAGTTAAAATGAATAACCGGTAACCGGTTAGGGTCATTCGGTTTTAAAACAACTTGCACTGTTGTATACATTTGGATTGAGAGCTATTACGGTCATTGGAAAGAAGATACAAGTTTCATTTATTCGGCCACACACACATTTGTTTCTTAAATGCTATGACTTTTGCATTCTTCTCAATGATGTCCTTTGTCGACAAAACAAGATGACAGATTTTGGATGTTCATAGAACTGATTCGAGGGTATGAAATCACTACAAGCGAGAGATTGCAAGAATTTTGAGAGAGGAGGATGAAGCTTATGAATAATAAGAAAAGCAACTTAGGTAGAAATCAAAAATGGAAACAAAATCGTTGCATAGGACATACCTTGTTTATGGACAGTGTCATTAATGATAACATTATCTCATAACAGTTTTATCGGAGTTCAAATATCGAGCATCATCATTTTATAATCAATAAATGAAGAAAGAGTGATAATCAATAAGAAAAATCATCATAGCTAAGCTTTTCTTTTCGAAACATGAATGGAAATATAAAATGATCCACAAGCGCATATTGACAACTAGCTTCCCAAATGGATTTCTAATTAGGTACTTTATAGGAGCAGAAATTGCATCTTAGAACAATTTAGTGATATCATATGAGAATGAAAAAACGAAAAATGGCTCTAACTAACTTCATTTCACCAAAAATCTTTTCTTCCATTATTTCTCATCTCTCTCACTCACTCTCTTCATTACACTCTCTCTCTTTCTCTCTTTCTGATTAGCTGTACATGAGAGGGAATGTTAAGAAAAAAAGGAAAAAAAAGAAGAAGGTTGTTCAGTTCATTCAATTGATAGATAGCCAAAAATCAGACAAACAAACGTTTTAAGACGATCGTTCAAATTCGAACAACAAAATCAATCAAAATCTCATTAACAAAGAACAATTAAGTGCAATAGAAAGATATGATGAGAAATCGCAAAAATCAGACCTACACGATGACTTTGATGTGAGAGAAGGTCATATTACTATAAACCAGATTGCGATAGAGAGACTGGAGACATATAGAGTGAGTAAGAGAGAAAGAAACACAAACATGAATATCAGAAAAAAAAGAGAGAGAAATACAATAAATCGTTACTGTTCGTTATTTCGATTCCTATACTACATGCAAATTAAGGGACTGAGAAACTTTTTTCAAATTTTTCTCGTTTTCAGTATATCCACGTCACTCTTTACACTAAAGCCCATAGATAAGTGCTTTATTGCTGTTTCTATGGGCACCACATAGCGAAGAGCCACGAAGTAATGTACGTGGAAACATCTCAAAAAACCAAAAAGAGGCTAGATGAAAGGAAAATAATACAACAAAAGAAAAATAGTAGTAAAAAAAGGGTAATATCAAAGAATCACAGTTGAGTATATGCTCTAAGAAACACAAACAACACACACAATAAGGGATTATTTTCATATTTGGCGCCAAAAAAAATAATTTGAAATTATTGTTTTTTAAGGTTATAGTGTGTATTATTGTTGTTTGTTATAATGATAATCATAGATCAAACTATGATTTCTATATATCATGAGACAATCGATGATCTTTGATTTAATGAAAGAAAGAATTCTCATTTCCCTTTCAGTTTTATCCTCACTATCTACTCGTATCAGAGTATCATCTTTCATTTTCTATTGAATGTTCCTTCAAGTTACATACTAATTCTTATTTCAAATCTGAATGTGTTCCGAATTTCGGTTTCCCATTTAGTCGCATTCATGAAATTTGCGCAAAAATACTGAACATCTGGAAGAAAGAGAAATGCTATATTGAGAAAAGTAGGTTAAATGTATGAGATACAGTATGAATACGATAGAGAAAGTTTCGCTTCCAGCAGAACAATTTGTTGGGAACGATGAAGAAAGAAAAATTGCATTGAAGAATAACGCAATATTCAGCATTGATCCCCCCTACCGCTATAGCCGAGAAAGCTGTTTCAATGAAGTTTTCAAAGAGAAAAAAGTTTTCATTTACAACATGAGTTTACAATCTGTCATCTTAGGCCATCTACAGCTCTTAATTTGCTTTGAAATACTGCTACTAATAGTCAACCAGATACTGCTTACCCCCAGCTGTCAATAAAGAAACGATCCAATTGATTCAGACAAAGCATTTCAGAAATCTGCTAGTGTTTCTCTTACTTTTCTCATAAATCTCAGAAAAAATAATATTTTATCCGTTCCACTTTCATTCTCTTTCAAGCTTCATTGTATATGCAACCCATCTTTCAACCATGTTCATTCATATCATTATCTGACAATAAGCCAAATACTTAATCCAAATCTCATATCTTTTCATTTTAATTCCAATTTTTGTTTTTACTTTGCTCTTTGCATTACATGGTTAAACCGCTGTGAGTTAACAATCTTTGTAAACTCGGATATATATGGTAGTTGCTCAGCATATTTATTTATTTGCTCAGCGATGGTTTTATTTTACAGGTTCGTAACCATTGTTAATTTTGATGCAGACAAAAGATGCTAACTCTATGTTGAGACGAAAGGTGTCAAAAAGTATTTGTGAGATAGTGCTATGAGAAGAATGGCTTACAGCAAAGCTCCAAAATGACCGCACTCACCATTCAAATACTATTTATATATAAACACGAGTCCGCATACACGTTACCCTTTGAATGAGGAAAACATACAAAGATGTTATTTGAGCGAAAATCTTTAGCGATCCAATGTGTAACCACCTAGTTTTCGCACTGCATTGTATTTTGTTTGAACATTTATTGTTAAGTCTACCTTATATGTCTCGACCATCTCAAACTTGTTACAAATATTTTACTCTGCTGACCATTCGGAGCAAATTTGAGCACGGAACTTCATTCTCATATTTCAAACTTATCGCATTCATTCACAATTGCCTATTCTTTAGTCATTATGCGTTTGTGAAGGGTATCAAGCAAGTCAACATTTCAAAATAAATCAGAACTCTACTCTGTCCACCTTGCACGACCGCTTGATCTTACATTAGCGGAGAAATTGATTTCCGAAAACATTCACTATCTCCTCCCACCTCCCACTTCATTTATGTCTTCCTTTTCAAGCCTTTTACTTTCTGAAAGTCATCTCTTGATAAACTAGTGCTTCTCGAGCACTTTGACCTCATATTGGTTTCCCTCCCTCAAATGACATGTTTTCTAACCTTCTGATCATTTCTCAGCATAACATCCAATCCAATACAACCGTTCATTTGCATAAATTCCATTTTCCTTTTCTTAGTATCTTACATCTTCACCCGTCTGTCAACATTCCCATATTCCGTTTATGAAATGACCCTTATATCTCCAAACTCATCCTTTTCTTTACTGAAATATAACTTTTCAATAATAATTATATTTCTAACAATATATAATCGACATTATTCATTACGAAATTTATGATCTATAATCAATAAAACCATATTTGTTGAGATGCGTTGAAGAAAACGTAGAGAAAGTATAAGTATATCTCATTGAGAAAGAAGTGTGCGATTCACACATTGAAGAGGTGTGCTTCTCTTAATTGCTCACGAAAACACTTTTTACCCCCCAAAAAGAGAATCATAAACCTTATATCTTCAGATTTTACAAATATTTGTCATTAGTTAAAACCTTTTTTTTTTCTTTTCCTTTTTTTTTTTTTCGAAAATCCAAATCCTATTGCTCTATATCTCCCTCACATAACCTGCTCTACTGTTCTACATTTCTTTTCACATTTTGTAACAATAATTCTCATTTACTTCTCTAAACAATCAATATTATAGATAAAATGAATTCAATAGCTTCCAAAGCTCCTAATGCTCTTGTGAGCCGTATTTTACAGGTAAACACAATCTTGGATTAGATTTCTCAAGTTTCATTTCATTATTCACTACCGTTTCGTAACCCAACCATTTCTTTGTTGTTTTTTTAAGGTAGCGCTTGGATTGTTTGTCACGACATCCGATTTGCCGTCAATCTCAAAAAACATGAGTCAAATGTCATTTGATTGCTCTTTCGAAACGGATTGCCGGTATTTAAAACTTTATATTTTGTTTTAAAACTTGGTCAAATGTACAGTTGGCAATCGGATGGGAGGTTGATGGATCATTGGCGAATAGCAAGGGGTGAGCCAGATAGCTTATTGTGGCTAGCGGCCACAGGAACACTACAATTACCAAGTAAACTCAGTGGAAACAACTTTTTTGCTTACAATAACACTAAGGGGAGCCATTTGCTCTAATCGAAACGCGCGGTAGTCCTGCTGACGTTCTATCTTCTGATGTTGTGACATGTCAAAAAGGTTACGCAGATTTCTCATTCTTGTTCTGGACAATAGGTAATACACGTAAAAATGAGAGTAAAATTGCAAGATTGACATGCATAGGCGATGCTGGCTTAGAAGTTTGCTTAAGTCATGAGAATGGTGACAGATTCAATTGTACTGGTCCATTTGTCTCAAAAAAGATGCCGGAGAAAGTTAGCTTAATAATTCCACAAATGCAACAACCATTCAAGGTATATAAACATACATCAATCTATATTAGAATCATTCTAATACTTCCCTATCTCTAAAACTTTTTTTCATTTATAGCTATTAATAGTCCCTCTGGAGAGAAATGGTGTATTAGTTGTTGATGATATTCGATATAATGCTTTGCCTTGCGAATCAGGCGGCGATATAATCTCCGTAAGTGGCTATTCACCTTTATCATATTCAAACATTCCTAATTCGACGATTGATAAGATTGTTTTATCAAGATTGCTGTAAACCAGTGTCTTTATCAATTGAAAACGTTTCCCCTTCCTCTCTTTCTCTCTCTTTCAACCATCACTCATTGATTCTTCATCTCTCTTTCCCTAATTCTCATCTATGCAATTGATGTTTCATTCTATATGATCATTTTTGCGCGACATAAGTTCAGTAGGCCTTTACCGAAAACTGAAGATCATTTTTTGAAAACTGGTTTCACTTTCCGCCTCTAAAGTTCAAACGGCGAATCACAATTGCAAATATCAGCAAACTATCTATTTGAATAGTATAATTATATGCAAATTATGCTGTTTTTTTAGAATGTAAAGCCAATAACTGAGAATGAATTAATAACGAGACAGCGACCGGAAACATCAACAGGGCGAATGAGTACATCAAGACACAAAACAAAAATTAAACTTTCAAATACTTCAGTTGAAACAACAACCACAACAGAGATCGAAACAACTACTACTCCACAGATTGAAGAAACAACATTTGATTCTTCAGAGAAGATGTTTGTCAAATCAACTTTTTGAAATGAGAATGAAATGTTTCTTTAGTGAGAGCAAACCTCCCATAGATGAAACAACAGAAACACCGTTTGAGCTGATGGTATATGGCAATATGTCAAGACCGCTGTTTGATAGACGCAAGGGTAACAGAATTAATGTCTAATCAATCTATACTAACTACTTCAAGCTAAAATTGAGGTGGACTCAAGCAAACTGCTTTGTGACTTTTCTGATGACTTCGACTGTCAATGGGGTGTTGAGGAAGGAAAATGGGCCGTAATCGAGAGAGGTTATCATTAATCGATTAAACGAAAGTATTCAATAATTCAGGAGCAATACCTAATTTGGATAGTTCAATTACCGATCCATCACTATTGCCAAACTATCCAGCAGCATTGGTTATTCAAGGGGTAGCGAAACTTGAATCAGATCCAATACTATGCTTAAGCGGTCCAGGAAAGGTTGAAAACATAGAAATAGTAAGAAGCGAAACGTTTAATACTTGTTTCAGTTATTATTCCGTTATTGGAGTAACAGCGAAATAACATTGAAAGTGTGTGCAGCTTCATATGGTTTATACTATTATCTAATAACTTATAACATTATAATCTAATAGATAATCCAGCAAACAGAACAGTCTGTGTGAATCAATCACAGAACAATCAACGAGTACAGAATTTAGCAGTTTTCAATTTTCCCAATCCAATTTACGAGCCATTTACGGTGAGAAACTTTTGTTGACGCTTCTCACATCAATTTCTTAGCTGCAAATTGTACCACAATGGAGTACTGGTTATAAGAACCGTTTCTTAGTTATAGATGAAATAGCTTACATAGGAGAGTGCAACCCAGAAAATAGAAGTAGTCATTATAATATTGAAAGAGTCTAATTCATTTTACTACAGTTTCTAACAGTTTGCAAAAGAAGGTTATCCCTACTACAGAAACGACTGCCGAAACAACAACTACCACTACTACAACTACAACGACGCAAGAGCCAACAACGGAATTAGTCAAAAGTAATATTTATTAAAAAAAGAAAACTGTTAGGATGTTTTTCTTTTTTAGGCACATGGATACCAATCAGGCCTTATACCCCAAGAAGCACCTCAAGACTTGTTACCCTCAGGCCGCTCATCGATCGTACATCTAATATGGGAATGAGAAAACTATCATTGTGAGTTATTATATTTTCGGAAAAATCAAAATGTTGTCATTCAAGGTCAACCACTCTGAGGCCTATACCTATGGCTACAACTTCTATCCCTATTGTGTCGGAAGATTACTGCACTAAACTCAACTGCAATTTTGAAGGTCAATGAGAAGTGTAAATACTTCATTAACATAAGTTGTTTAGAGAGTGCATGTAATTATCTTAATCATGGTTTGACCAAAAAGCCTTGGACTCTGCGAAACCGAGGCTATGGTTATCCTCTAACTGGAGCAACAGATATAAGGCCAAGTCTGTCAATAACATACGCAAACTATGCTAATCAAAAAATCTTTGAAGATTCAGCTAATGGGCAGTTCGTTGCTGCTGTTTTGAATTCTGGAGATGTTGCTATTATGGAATCACCCAAATTCAATGCCACAAACGCTCTAAATGTACTTCTTTTCCAATACTACAGGCCTTCACCTCTAACCACTATACGGTTGTGTTTGGGTGAGCGATAGACTCAAAACAGGATCTTTTCAACTCGAATCTATATAGGCTCTAGATATAGCAGCGTTTATCGCTCATTGTCATCTTTCAATGAATGCCCTTCTGTGCTACGCTCAATAACGTCACGAATAGCTCATAACTGGAATACAGTTCACATTCAATTACCTTCCGGCACAACGCATGTAAGTTCAAATCATGAATAATCAATAGTTGGAATATGAAACCTGCTTTATCAGTTCTACATCGTGGCAACTAACAATGACAAATCAGACTCAAGAACAGCTGTAGCCATAGATAATATACGAGTAGCTATGTGCGATTCTCGTAGCTACTCACCCGATTACACACAAGAAGCATCAGAAGATCATAACTTCTTGAACGGATTCTAATTGTTGGAATTAATATCAAATTATTTATTCAGTTCTAAATATGAAACGAAAAGAGTTATTTATATGAAAAGATTCAGGAAAAATTAAATCGTTGTATAACCTATTATGGAAATGAGCATAACTAAGTCCCTCAAGTATTTCATGTTCCCTCTCACTCTATATCTACTTGTTATGAAAAATGGATTTCAAAATATAAAAAAATTTTAATTAATTATGTTTGAAATGTAAATAAAATTTTAAAAAGTTTGAAAATTATCAGATTATATGTTTGATGAAACCATTATGTTACATGTTGTTTACGCATGTTTCTATTCAACTTGGCGCGTTGGAGTTACAGTATGCCATGCCACGCGACCACATTAGGTCCCGCCACGATATGGAAACCAAGGATCAGTGGTCTTCGATTTGGTCTGAGTTTGGACACAAGCGACAACTAGGCATCATTCGTGAGTTGTTTCATCACTTGTTTGTTGCTTTCTCCTCCAGTAATGTATGTTATTTATTCAGCTAGATAACTTTGAAGTTAATTTGACAAAAAAAATTTATCTCATGCTTCCATGAGTTCATATTTGAATGTGTGTTCATCTTTGATTACTCTTTGGTCGTGTCGCATATGTACATCGATAGTATGCAAAAACATTTTTTTTGTTACAGAATGGCAACCAGTCGTGATACTCCCGTCTCAGAAGGAACCTATGGATTCGTCTATGGTGTTTCCGGACCTGGTGAGTTTTCCGGAAAAATGAGATAATCTAACAAAAAAATGATAGTCGTAACTGCTGAAAAAATGGCCGGATCAGCTATGTACGAATTGGTTCGTGTCGGTCACGGAGAATTGGTTGGAGAAATTATCCGTCTTGAAGGAGATTTCGCCACCATTCAAGTATACGAAGAAACATGTGAGTAGAGAGAAAATGAGTGATAAAAAACAATCAATTATCTAGCTGGAGTAACCATTGGAGATCCAGTACTTCGTACCGGAAAGCCATTGTCTGTTGAACTTGGACCCGGTATTATGGGTTCCATTTTCGACGGTATCCAACGCCCATTGAAGGACATCGCTGATATGACTTCTTCTATCTACATTCCAAAAGGTAGAAATAGAAAAAATCTGAAACATATCTGATAATGCCTATTGATTAGGTATCTCTACCAAGGCTCTCTCACGCGAACTCCGTTGGGACTACACTGCTGATAAGAACCTTAGAGTTGGTTCTCACATCACAGGTCTCTTAAAAGTATCAAAATCGATAAATCAATTTTTTCACTAATACAGGAGGAGACGTTGTCGGATGTGTCTTCGAAAACGTTCTCATCAAGCACAAAATCCTTCTCCCACCAAATGCCTGCGGAACCGTCACCTGGGCCGCTCCATCTGGACAATACACTGTTGAAGTACATAAAACATCAGACTTAGTAGCAATTTTTAAAATATAGGATGTCCTCATCGAAGTTGAATTCAACGGAAAGAAGCAAAAATTCACTATGCTTCAAGTATGGCCTGTACGTAGCCCACGTCCATGTTCTGAGAAGGTAGAAACAGCCTCAATCGAACTACAAAACCTAATTCAATCATTATAGCTTGCTGCTAACAATCCACTTCTCTGCGGTCAACGTGTTCTCGACGCTCTTTTCCCATGTGTCCAAGGAGGAACCACTGCCATTCCAGGTAGATGGACTCGAGAAAGAAATTCACAATATTTAACTCTTAAGGAGCCTTCGGTTGCGGAAAGACTGTCATTTCCCAATCTCTCTCCAAGTACTCCAACTCCGATGCTATTATCTACGTAGGATGCGGAGAACGTGGAAACGAAATGTCTGAAGTGAGAACATCATCAAAAAATGAGACATTTTCCCCTTGGGATTTAGGTATTGCGTGATTTCCCAGAATTGACTATGGAAGTCAACGGAGAAGTTACCTCCATCATGAAGCGTACTGCCCTTGTCGCTAACACTTCTAACATGCCTGTAGCTGCTCGTGAAGCTTCTATCTACACTGGTATCACTCTTGCTGAGTATTTCCGTGATATGGGTCTCAACGTTGCTATGATGGCTGACTCCACATCTCGTTGGGCTGAGGCTCTTCGTGAAATTTCTGGTTAGTCAAAACAATAGAACGACATAAAGAAATTTGTTCTCTTAAGGACGTTTGGGAGAAATGCCTGCCGATTCCGGTTACCCAGCTTACTTGGCCGCTCGTTTGGCTTCCTTCTACGAACGTGCTGGTAAGGTTAAGTGTCTTGGAAACCCAGAACGTGATGGATCCGTTACCATTGTCGGAGCGTAAGAAATGAAAAAAACAGCAGAAACTAAGCTTGAATTTTTAGCGTATCACCTCCTGGTGGAGATTTCGCTGATCCAGTTACTGCTGCTACTCTTGGTATTGTCCAAGTGTTCTGGGGATTGGATAAGAAATTGGCCCAAAGAAAACATTTCCCATCTATTAACTGGCTTATCTCCTACAGGTTGGTGACAAAACAGCAATTTGAAGACCAGGGAATAATTTCAGTAAATACATGAGAGCTCTTGAAGATTTCTACGAGAAGAGCTTCCCTGAATTCGTCAGTCTCCGTACCAAGTGTAAAGAAATTCTTCAAGAAGAAGAGGACTTGTCCGAAATTGTACAATTGGTCGGAAAGGCTTCTTTGGCTGAATCTGATAAGATTACTCTTGAAGTTGCTAGAATCATTAAGGTTTGGAACAGTTTAGTGAACGGCTTTCTGAATTCATATTTAGGACGATTTCCTCCAACAGAACGGTTACACTAAATACGATAGATTCTGCCCCTTCTACAAAACTGTCGGTATGCTTAAGAACATGTAAGTGGAGAGAACAAAATAGGATGAGTATATAATGCATTTTAGGATTGGATTCTATGACTTAGCTAAGCACTCTGTTGAAAGCACAGCTCAATCTGATACTAAAGTTACCTGGTCCATGATCAGAGATCACATGAACCCCCTCATTTACAAGTTGTCTGATATGAAGTTTATGGATCCCGTTGCTGATGGAGAAGAAAAAATTAAGAAGGAATATGATGAGCTTATGGAACAAATGCAAACAGCTTTCAGAACCCTTGAAGATTAAAAATCGCCTTAGTATTGCCTATAACCCTTACAGTAGATGTATTAGTTTAACAATAACAGTCTGAAGAATTTTGCGAAAAATCTGTAAGTAACCGGACGAATAAATAAATTTTAATGTACACAAATATGTTCTGAGATGAATTTGGTTTCAATGGGAAACAAGAAAAACTCGAATCGAAAACTGTATCAGTGAAGTTCCCAGCTGGGAGCGCGTGCAAAACATAATGTCGTGGGATGGAAAACAAAATCAAGGGAGGAGTGGGATTGATCATCATTTTCGCTTATAAGAAAGAGAAATCATAGGGCTGCAGATGGATTGGTGATATAAACTACGTGACAGATATCACTTTCTCACGGTATATAGAGAATGAATGGATCAAAACACTTTTTTGCCTTGTAAGCTATCATGATTCATTCAAAAATATTTTTTTATAGCTTAGAGCATAAACTACTGTACTCTAGGATCTCATCATGAATACGAAATATAGATTGAAACTGTGACTATACAACAGCATGAGTTGATGATAGATATGAGTGGATCAGGTATGTACAAACACTCGTATACACATACCCTCGATAGTTGTAGCGAAAGTGGGCGTCACAATTAGCTTTCAAACTTTACACAGTCAACAGCTGCGAGGATGAGAAGAGATATTATTGATTAAAAGTTCATAGTTCATACTCAGATTTAAAAATTTCATAGAAAACCATTCAATAACACATTTTGATACTCAGAAATGATAAATGCTGAGATTAGGAATCTAATTAAGAGTTAGTAATTTCAGGTTTGCCAAATATGGCGTCAACAACAAAACAACATCGATCGATTACCCAATTAAAAGGGGCGGAGTCATGAGTTCCCAGAATATAAACTACAATTTTTCAAATTGTACCAGACATAATATGGCGTCCCCCCCTCTATTCCCTCTAACATACAACTTTGATAACAAATACTTCTTTTCATTATTTAATTTCTGTTTGTTATAAACCATTTTTTGAATTTGAAAAGCTATCAGTTGTGTTACCTTTACGTATGTTTGACAATATTTTCTAATTTCCTCTCAATTTCTCATGAACTGCTTCAAATTATTCATTAAAGTCCATACTAGATGAGAAAAAGCTTAGATTAACATGTTGAAATGTGGGAATTATTCAATACCCTGAAAGCTAACAAAAAGGCCAAATGAGCTGACGTCCTGAAAATTGAGAAAATCATAAATTGAAACACATTTCATTTCATATTTCTTTTTCATTCTTCTTGTTCGTAGAAACATCGATAAAGTGCGTAAGTTAATTCTTCAAAGCGCTTTTCACCAGTTTGAGGGAATCATCCCTACATCCCCCTATGTTCAGCATACTCAACGTATGAAGAAGACAAAACGATCAAGACAACTTGAGCTTCTTCATCATTTTAATTCTCAAAAGTTTTATGATCTATTTAGAATAAGATGAACAATGTAATTCTCAAAATCCATTTTCAACCAATTGCTCACTCCAGTTTATCCGTATACATCGCAAGCAAATCTTCTTATTTCATCGAAGTTTCATTCCATCTCTTATTGACTTGAAAGAAAGACAGAAAGAAAAGAAGATTTAAACTTCTACAATCATTTCTATTCATATTGAACAATGAATTTTGAACAAAATCTCTACCATTATTTCTCATCTCTTTGGCCTTTTCTTCCATCTGACCTCAATTATTGAAAAAAAAACCTGGCTGGTTTGTGATCATTCTTTCCTCTTAACTATCCGTTGTTGATTTTAAATGTAATAAACAAGTATGTTGGTGAGCTGGGAGGGGGGGGGGGGTAAATGAATAATAGTTGATATTTTGGGCAAAACTCTCCATACTAACATATCTAACTAATTATCTTTCATTCACTTAGATTTCTCCTGTTGATTGGAAAATTGCGTCTTCCTTCATCCATTTTATGCTTCTTCTTCCCATTCATTATTCTTCTTTTTGGCTATTTTAGTGAGTTGTCATATCCGTTTTGGGAGCTTAATAAGTAAATATCTGGAGGCTTTGAGTGAACTGTCCATGTATAATTCAGTGGATTGCCCATTTCAACCCTGCAATTCCTATGAAGGTCAAGTATCGTTCAAATTGCCAACAAATGGATTTACATAGGTGATCACAATTGGTGTTCTCATGATATTTTGAACCCTTTGTTATTCAGAAATCAAAAATCGTATTGATAAACTTTAGGTTTCGTTGCATTTGTTTGTATGACTCTATCATCACATCATCATTTTCTTTTTTTTCTTAGAATTTTTCCATTCTTATCTCAGAAAAAGATTATGAGGACAACTTCAAATTGAGTTGTCATGTTCATCTTGTTATGCCTGTCAAAAATTTTTTTCTTTACTCCTCAAGATCACTCTGGCTCAAAGAAGTACTCAGAATGACATTTAGAGGGTTAATTGAATTTATATTTATATATATATATAAAGAGAGAGATGTTTCTTGATTCAGATTGGTTGGACTTATACATCTTTCTTATACTTTCTCAAAAGCTCCCTGACTGTATGATCGATTCAATGTATATGTATATATTAGATATATGATGTCATATATGTATAACAAACACAAACTCTCTATTTCCACATCTCATATCACATTCTTTTGCTTTAGTCATCATATAAATCAAAGCACATGCGATGCATTAGAGAGAAGGAGAAAGATGAGATGATTCATCAAGCCAACTTTTGTAATAAAAAATAATAATTTTTGAACATATCACATACGTATGATTGAAAATAAAACCCGTTTGTTTACTTAATGCTCTCTGCGTCTCTAACAGTGTGTCCTCTGTTTAGCGTATATCTCTGGCGTAAACTTTCCCAACACTATGACGCACAAAGAATAATACAATCAATATTGACAACATACCTTTTTCGAAAAAAAGCAAAAACAGGTCAAAGCACTTGTCTATGTTGTTTTCCTATAAACATATATACTTGTATAATTAATCAATAATACATATGTTTTATTATATAATTATTATGTCTTCAATTATCATTATATAATTATTATATATAACTAATTATATCAAATATTTCAGTGTATATACATATATAGATCTATATTGAACTCAAACTTCAATAACAGCTTGTTTACCCCCCTCTTGTGTGAGAATGGAAAAAGCAAAGAAAGATGTTGGACAGAAATTTCGTCGTATAAAACATAGTTTAGTCAAGTATGTGTTCGTTATGGTTCTATCTTTTGATCATTTTTCTATTTTTTCGTTCCTCTAAACTGGAAAATTTGGAAGACTGGAAGAACGTTGGTCCTCTCGAGCAGAGAGTTAGCAAGATATGTCATTCATTGAATTTGCTCAAAAAGAACCTCATCGGAAGTATACGTACGGGATACAAAGATGAGAATCACGATAAAAGAAGAGTTTGTAAAGTGCATGCAGTCTGGCAATGATTTTTATTGTTTTTAGAAAAAAACAGAAAGTTATAATTTAGCTGTGGAAATGAAAGAGTGCTCAACAGAAATTCAGAAATTGTCATCAACATGTCTGCATAATGTGCTTAATCAAACATCAGCTTCTCTTGTATCATTAGCAGAAGAAAGAGTTAGTCTATCATTATCAATCAACAGCTGATAAATGACTGTAATTAAGGTGAAATATGAAGAGATGTTAGAGCTACATGTTATTGATGAATTAAATAAATTTGCAGAGATTGAAAAACTTCTGGCGAGAAGTAAAGAGAAATTAGCAAAAGCATTGACAGGTTGATTTATAGCCAAAGCAATTGTTCAGATAAATTGAATTTTGTCAGATTGTGAGATTGCTAGAAAAACTGGAGAAGATGTAGATGCTGTTCATCAAAAATTAGAATACCAAATGGTTTGTTTGATGACTTTAAATGCTTTTATGACCCATGCTGCTTCTATTTAAGGATGTTACATCAACTCAAATATACAATTTTGCTGCCAGAGAACAAGATATCTCTAAAGTCAGTATCTTTTCTCAGACTGTTTTTACAAATGAAAATTCTCTAATTTTCCAGGTGTTTGCTATACTTCTTGAGGAGAAAAGAGAGTATCATCGAGCTGCTTTGAGAATCATTGAATCAAGCTTACCACTGGTCTTAAGGGATATTGGTTATTCATGTTCGGAATTAAAAGGTTATAAAACGTTATTTTATAGACAAGGCTCGTCCCCGACCGATGTTTGGCGTAGACCTTTCAGAACATGTTCAACATTCACGGAAGCCGATCGCAATCCCCATTGAGGAATGTTGTACTTTTCTGAGAAGAACAGCCCTCAGAGAAAAAGGTCAGTTACCAAAACAAAACTTTTTTTCATGAATTCTATATAAGCCATAGGGTAAATGACTTTAAATGAACTTTTTTCAGGATTGTTCAGAATAAGCGGAAACAGCGTCAAGATCAAGAAACTGAAAGCATCTTTCGATGCTGGGCATTACGAGGTTGTTCAAAAACCAAATATGCATAAAGTTAAATGATTTTCTCAGTATGACATCCAAAGTTTGGAAAATGACCCTCATAGTCTGTGTGGAGTGCTGAAATTATATTTGAGAGAACTTCCTGGATCATTGTTAGTCAACAGACTGTTCGATTCATGGGTTGAAGCTCTTCAGTTAGTTTCACATTTAATGGCTTAAATGGATCCCTCATTCATTGTAGGCTAGATGGGGAAGGGAGGATTAATGCTTTCCGGAATGTTCTAAAGAACTTACCAGTCGAAAATTTTAACAATTTATGTTATTTAATTGACTTTTTAACTGACGTCATGAGTTTTCAGCTGGACACATCGTGAGTATATTTCTTGTTCTTCTTTGCAGCTTTTATTATCCCATTTAAAATTCAATTAAAACTTAGGATGAACGCAACGAACTTAGCAATTGTATTTGGTCCCAACTTATTAGTTGGAGATAATGAAGAAAATAGGACGGTTAACAAGGTTTCCACAAAATGCAAAACATTTCACTATCTATTATTTTAATTATAGATAGTTGAAATATTGCTCTTAGAATCAGATCAGCTTTTCGGAATTCCCAAAAAGGAAATTCATCAACCATCATCTCAAATCTTTGATAATATGAGGCTCAGTCAATCATCTGAGGCGGGAAGGTTTCAAAAACTGCTGATAAAATAACTGAAAAAAATGAATTTTCAGTTTGAGCCAATCACCAATGAGAACTGAAAGTGTCAAGAGCGTGCAAGCGCCAAAACTACCTATGCAACCACCATCAAGTACAAGAGTTGAAAGTTTGTTACAAAAACGGGAAAGTGATCCGAGGAGCAGTCGAAAATACGTCAGCCGTATAGATGTGGATAGTTCAACGTCATCTGATCAGAATGTATCGTTAACAAGTTTCAAGAAGCCGGACCGTCCTCCATTACCAAACGTGAGTTTATTGCTTCTGCTTCTTGTTCGCTTTCAAACCGAAGTTTCATATAGGCTGTTACTGCACTGAACAGAATGAATTTAAGAGATGTGCAGAGCAAAATAGATGAAAATCAGAATGATTAAGTTATTGCTCTCTCCTTCATTTCATGTGAGAGTTGAAGGAGCAAAAAGTTGCAAAATGACATATAATTTTCATGTTTCTTTAGACCATTTTTTTCCCAAAAAAAGTTTTTATTTTTTTCAATTTCGTAGTTGAAAACCCAATGTAAAAAGAAGATTTGTTTTTTGAATGAAAAATATTTATATTTGAGAGAAAAGACGTTAATATATCTCAAAAAAAACAGAAAAGAGGATGAAGAAGATGAGATGGAAAGGAAAATGAAGAAGAAGCAATGGATAAAGGATTGGGTGAGACATGGAGTGAGAAAGGTTAGAGGAGTAGAATGAATATATAATGGAATATACAAAGAATCAGTTTGTTTTCTTTACAATAATGGCACAGTAAGTCAATTACGATAACCATAAACTATATAATATATAGTTTGCAAGAACATATAGTAATTAATACAATTAGTTTAGTCATATTTAACATGTAAAGCTATAATTCACTTGAGAAGACTTGTTTAGTTTATCAAAAATGAACTAAAAGATATATATATATATATATATATATATATATATATA